TGTGTGTGTGTGTGTGTGTGAGAGAGAGAGAGAGAGAGAGAGAGAGAGAGAGTGTGTGTGTGTGTGTGTGTTTTCTTTCTTTGTACAATTGTTGCTGTTAAGGCGGTTGGAGGGTGCTATTTCTGGGGCCTATATGCGTCTATTAAAACAAAACTGTTGCTGTTGTTTAGCTTGTTTATTTGTTTTTCTGTTTTTTAAATTATTTTTTGGGGTAAATGTTTTACGGCGCTCGCAACTGCATAAGGTCATATGAGTGCGCGGGACACTTTAGATTTTTTCAGTTGGTAGGAAATTTTGAATTTTGCCCGGTTGGCGGCCGAAGCCTACTCTTATCGATTTCAGACCACCAAGGGATCTTTAAAGTGCGCAACTTGCACACCAGCCCTCCGAGATTTTTCGCCCTTGTCCGAAAAGGTTAGGTGTAGATCTTTCCTACCAGAAGATCAGGGGTGGGACTGAAAGACAGCAGTAAGAATGAGCCAAGGAGTAGCAGTAGAAAGGCTGCAGAAAGAGTCAGGGCCCAGATGAGGGGGGCAAATAAGATGAGGGGGAGGAGGCAGAAAGGAGACAATTTTAGAGAGGAATATGTTTCGGTCGCTACCCGGATTCGAATTGGGGACATTTGAATGAGAGGCCAACACCTTAACCTCTAGGCCACGAGAGCTTGTTTGGGGATGGGGAGGGTTTGTAATTTTCCGAAGAAGAATTTGAAAATGGGTACGCCATATCCGCCTCGAGCTTACCTTTTCCGTCCATAAATAGACACAATTGGAAGGGCAAGCGAGGTAGAAGATTATTCTGGAACGATAGAATAATTCACCGAGGAAGTCATGGTCTACAGGGAGCATCAATCTGGAAATAAATGTCTGCAGACGAGATCTTGGCTCCCCGCGGGCCTAAAAAGAAATCACGGTATTGGGCATATTCAAAGTCCCACTGCTATTAAAGCACAGCTATTCCGTGATGTCAGTTCCATGAATATACATCATAATGTGTACTTCAGTGTCAGTTGTGCAAGTCGAAAGTGATACCCAAAAGTTATTTGACAGAGTCCATCCAAGCTGTAGATCGTTGTGAGTTTGTATGTGCGTATGTGCGTATGTGCGTATGTACGTATGTACGTATGTGTGTATTCTTGTATATATGTGTATGTGTGTGTGGTGCGTGCGTGCGTGAGTATGTGTGGGCACGCGTATGTAACACTATGTGCCTTTAAAATTGATTTGTAAATCCATATTATGTATCATGTTAAGCGCATACAGCATTTCATAAGTGGATATGCGCTATATAAATGCAATCCATTTTATTATTATTATTATTATTATTATTATTATTATTATTATTATTATTATTATTATTATTATTATTATTATTGTTGTTATTATTATTATTATTATTTCATTTTGAATAGACTGTCGTTTAAGATGATATAACTTTCTGAATAAAGCGTGTTTGTTCGAGTTTCTATAACTTTCTGTTTTTGCTGGGTCGGGTAGTTGGTCCTCCGCAAACTGGCACTTTTCGGGAGACCAGGCCTATGCACCTTTAGTCGGCTCTTACGACACGCAGTATCACGGCAGGTGTATTCTTTGCTCCCACATAGTTAAACTAAGGATAGGGAAAAGTGGAAAGAGTTTGTTCGCAGCCTATATCCTGATCCAGTGTGAAAAAGGCAAGGATGATGAACCTTCTGAATGTTTGCTGAACGTTGATCAGATTGGTGTTAGGTATTCGGCTGGCGCGGTTCGTCCATTGAGCACGGTCGTGCAGTGCCGCCCAAAATGTTAATGTTCTATTACGCAAAACACCTACAATAACAAAATAAAAGACGCCAGAAACAAACACTAGCCAAATATTATATCAAAATACGTTTCTCACTGGCGCCGTAACTGTCATTTCTGTGTCTATAGCGCCGTAAAACATCTACTATGCCATGCCAAAGTTCATGCGCTGTATCTATGCATAGCAGGATATTCAACAGTGGAAAGCTGACCTATAAATCGCTCTTTGGGACAACCCAAGCGATGACGACACTCGTAGCGAGTTTGGCGGTACATTAATATTAATAAGACGGCACATCTCAAATGTGCTCCTGCCGAATAGTGCCGAAACATAGCCCACAGTAGGCAATCTAAAAATAAACGCGATAGACTGTGCACTATTCTATGCCAAAATTATGTCAGCCCCGGAGCAATTCAGCGGAGTGCTCAAGTGAATTGTGATTGGTTCATTGTCTTGCCGCTATTTTAAGTGACTCTGTGACCGTGAACCTGAGGGAGATGAACGTGACACTCTTAAGTCATCGTCCTATGAGTTGTGCTTTTAAACGGTTTTGTAGTGGAGTGGTGAAAGGTATTACTTGAGTGTTCAGTTCTTAAGCAGGATGAATGAAACTGACGTTTAGCTAACAAACAGATTTAGTTCTAGAAGTCAAAGCCACAAGTAAAAAGAATGAATATAGAATCGCAAGGTTCTCCCTCACCAAACCAAAGATCCTAAAATTATACACCATCTCATTTACTATGCCCTTGACTATCTTCAACCTAAGATAGCTTAATTGTGCACACCCACTTTTAAGACCCACGAGCCGCCCCTGGTATTCGGAGCAAGCCAAGAAACTCGTAGAGCCTGCTACCCCAGAAGTTGGCTCGCAAACTCCTTATTTCAATTAATTATGTTATCTGTCTCCTCCTTTGCCATTCACCCTTACTTCACTCTCAACATTTTTATTATTTCGAATTAAATTAAATTTCGAAACAAAAAAAAACATTTTTGATAATAAGATTAAACCAATGCTGCTTTATGGCTCTGAAATTTGGGGTACACAAATTTGAGACATGATTGATAATATTCAGATAAAGTTCTGGAAAGCCTTTTTGGGTCTTGGCAAAACTACATCCAAATGGTTAGCTCTAAAAGAAGTGGGAAGAACCAACTTACGTTCTGATTACATGCATTAAATTATGATGCAGACTTATACACTTAGAAAATGACAGATATCCAAAGAAATGTTACATGCAATTATATCGTTCCAGTCAACTGGGCTACGGAAGTTAAAAACCTATGATTTTCCCTGGGTATTGATTTTGCCTGGTTTTCTCAAAATGTTGGAAGTACTAGACTCTTTCTCTGTGAAGTAAAAAGTAGACTTGTTGACCATTCTATGCAGAACATAGAGGAAAAAGTCTGTCGAAAGCATAATGTTTTCTCTCTTACAATTTCGTTTCAAGAAACAGCTGAATATATCACCAACCTCCCACTGTATTGGAGCAGAAGAGTCATAGCTTTGTTAAAAACCCACAGCCTTCAATTCAATAACAATCTCTATCGATGGAAATTAACGAATTCATCCTTATGTGAGAGGTGTAACACTCATGATATTGAAGATGAATTTCACTTTATTTTCTATTGTTCACACTTTGTCCATCAAAGGACATTGTTAATCCCTCCCAGCCTGACTCGGCCCAGTGACAGAAATATGCAATGTTTGACCCATGTTAAGAGATGTGTGCACAACCTGTACTTATTCATTATGAAAACTTTCATTATGTAAACTTTACTTACCAAATGAGTGTTTTATGTGATGTGATGTGGGCCAATGGCCTTAAACACTTAATAAACTTACTTACTATCTTAATTAATTATGTTATCTATCTCCTCACACCTCATCTCATATCCTTCCTTCGCAATTCATTCTTACTTCACTCTCACCATTTTAACCTTGTTCTTAACAACTCACCTCTCCTCGTTTTCTGTGACCTTCTATCTTATTTTCTCACCTTATATTTTTTCACCTCGTATGCATTTTATTGAATGATGCCTCTAGTAGGTCCTACAATTTTCTTGACCCTCTGTATTTTCTGAATGTTTGAATGTCCTTTAAAAATGTGTCCTAATCATTTAATTACAGTTAACGTAACTAATATGTATCTCTTTACCCAAACTCACCTCATGTCACCTCTTCCCACCTTATCTTATGTCACATCTTGTTCACCTCTTGCTATTTCTCCACTATTTATTCTCATCTCACCCTCATCCCACTCCCATCTCATTCATAACCCACCTTTCATCTCATCATCATCTCAACCGCCTTTCAGTTTCATCCTGCCATCATCTCCCCCTCATCCCACCCACACACACCACCTTCACCCCACCCCATCTCACCTTTATCCCACCCTTATCCCACACCCATCTCACCTACATTTCATCCCTCTCTCATTTTTATCCTACCACTCACCCGCATATCACTCTCATACAATCCCCCTCTCACCCCCATCTTGTTCTCAGCTTCAAATCACCCTTATCCCATCACCGCCTTACTCTCATCTCACTCTCATGCCACCGCTATCTCACGCTCATCCTACCCTCATCTCACTATCATACCACCCCTATTTCACCCTCATCCTACCCTCATCTCACTCTCATACCATCCCTATCTCACCCTCATACCACCCTATCTCATCGTCACCATACCCTCATCTCCTTCTCATGCCACCTTCATCTCACGTATATGCCACCCCAATCTCACCATCAGATGTTCGAGTGGCCCGTGGCCCGACCAATCGAGTCCGAGGAGGTCATCGACATTCAGGTCTACAACTACAACAAATACCTCAGCAACAGGTGAGCACTGGGAGATTAAGATAAGATTAGATTAGATTAGATTAGATTATATTATATTAGATTAGATTAGATTAGATTAGATTAGATTAGATTAGATCAGATTAGATTAAATTAGATACCCCAGCAACAGGTGAGCACTGGGAGGTTAAGATATGATAGATAAGATTAAACTAGATTAGATTAGATTAGATCAGATCAGGTTAGATTAGATTAGATTAGATTAGATACATCAGCAAAAGGTGAGCACTGGGCGGTTAAATTGGTCTCTTTTAAGGACAAGCGGGCTAACCCAGATTTCGGGTGTTTCCAGAAATCTTGACCTACACCAAAAGTGGGCATTGCTCTACTTATAGGAAAAGTTTGGTGTGTATATTTGTTTGGTTATAGAGACAATTTTCTTGTCTTTTAAAGTAACTGAACAAGAGGCAAAACCTTATCTTCGATTTTCTCAAAACTGTTTTTTTTTCGGGATAGCCCTCTTGTGCTTAAAAGTGACCAGTGGAGTTAAGAAAAGATAAGATAAGATACGATAAGGTGAAATGAAATGAGATGAGATAGATGAGATGAGATAAGAGAAGAAAAGATAACACTTTATAGTCCCAGAGAGGAATTTCTCTTGGCTGTACAGGACCGTAAAAACACATGCAGGTATCCAAAGAAATTAAATTATATAATACCCTCATTAAAATTCTACAGAAAAAGAAAAACTTTAGCTGCTACTAAGGAATTTTATTAATATGTATATATGTATATTATGCTATGCATGTATTCGAAAGAATAATACACATTGTTGTTTATTCTGATAGTAGTCAGTGTTTTAAATGGTCTGCCCTTTCTAATTCTGCTTACTGGTAAAGTAAATTAAATTTGTTCCCGCATCCAATCCGGACATTGGGGATTGCCTTGTTAGTGAGACAACTTCCTTTGGCCTCGGTATATTGTGTAGGATGGCCAGTTCCTTTCCACGCCGCCTTTACTTCCCCAACTCGAAGGCAGGTACCCATTACTTCTGGGTGGACAGGAGGGGGCCAAAATAAATATGTGTCCGACGGAGGCTCGAACCCAGACTTTCCGCTTCGGAGCCGAGCGAAGCTTATTGATACTGTTGCCCTTTTCTTTTCTTTGGAGAACGTGGAAGTTGTTCTACTAACCCGAACAAAAATTCCCAAAGAATGGGACCTAGCACGGGAGATGGAACCAATGTGTGATTTTGCTTGATTTTCTATTCCTGTTTTTTGTGTGTTTTTAAAAACTATTTTAGTGTGTGTGGGGGGGGGGGGGGGGGGAGGGGCGTGTTTGTTTGCTTTTTTGATGTTCTTTTCCCTTGTTCTTTCCTGTCTATCTTTCGAAAGTTTGTTTTTTAAGACAAAAACATAAAAGCAGCGTCATATTTCTCTTTGTACACATTCTATCTATCAAAAGCTAATAATTCTTGTCCGGACTCGGCACATTTTTGTTATGTTTTGTCACACACACACACACACACACACACACACACACACACACACACACATACACACACACGCACAAACACTCACAAACAAACAAATTAAAAATGCATCTTATCATATCTTATGGCATCTTATTGCACCTTATCGCATCGCATCGCATCTTGCATTATCTTATCAATATCTTATCTTATCTTACCCCCAGACTCGTGGGCACATTCCGCATGATCCTACAGGAACTTATCGAGGTTGGCAACGTGAAGATTTCCGACTGTCTCCTGGACGCCAACAACGTAGTCATGAAGGTGAGACCACGTCTGGACATTCTCCATCATTATTCAAACTCGTTAAAGAGAAATTCAATTTTGAACTCATTAGTTGACGAGACAAGTGCACGCCTCCATAACGAAAAGGTCAGCTCATTACCCTCGGGGCAGCGCACTCAGTGACCTTCCCTGAGCACTTCGATCAAACCTACCCTGAGGGGGTGTTCGGTTCGCTATAGCTTTTCACATTTTTCGTTTATTATCATTTTTCGTTTACTCAGTGCTTCTGTATCAAGTGGGCACCTTGTTTTTACGTAGTTTCCCTATGATGATGAATGAAGCTGTTCGTCTTAGATGTGTGTTCGCACTTGAGTGTTTGCGTCTGCATAATATGAATGTGTGTATGGCAGAGACAAAGAGGGAGGGAGAAAGAGAGAGAGAGAGAGAGAGAGAGAGAGAGAGAGAGAGAGAGAGAGAGAGAAAGAGAGAGACAGACAGACAGACAGACAGACAGACAGACAGACAGACAGAAAGACAGACAGACAGACAGACATGGAAGGGGCAAAGGAGGGGAGGAGGTGGGGGTAGAAAGTGGAGACGAAAGCAGACAACATAACATTGCTTGAGAACAGGAAAGGAGGTGAAAGAGAAGAAAACTTTGCGTCGCTATCCGGATTCGAACCCTGGACCTATTGAATGAAAGGCAAACAACTTAGCCTCTAGGCCACGAGAGCTGCCGGGCTAAATTTCTTAAAGCTCTTTGAAAACTCTTTAGACATCAGGGGTTTAAAAACTTCTACTTTTGAAAATCGAACCAGCGTCAAACACACAGAGGTTCAGCATGATACCAAGTGAACTGTTATTGGGCCCGAGGGCGCATTACTAAGTCCATAGAGAGCCGCTGCACAGTTGCAACCCGCTAGTATTTGCAATTGCCCATTAAACTGTGAATCATGTTGGTATCACTAACGTGTTTGTAGAAAAAAACCCAAAATTTCTGTAGTTATGAATCTTTTAGAACATACTGCTTTTAGCTTTAGTTTGCATGTTTTTGCCCCCCCTCCCCTTCTCTCTCTCTCTCTCTCTCTCTCTCTCTCTCTCTCTCTCTCTCTCTCTCTCCTCTCTCTCTCTCTCTCTCTCTCTCTCTCTCTCTCTCTCTCTCTGTCTCTCTCTCCTGTCTCTCTCAGTCACTCACTCTATTTCTCCACACCCCTCTCTTTCTTCCTCTCTCTTTCTGTTTCTCCCTTTATTCAGCTTGGTTTTTATTTCTTTTTGCTCTTCTCCTTACCTACCAGTACCTTTGGCTACTTTGGGTTGGGGTGCCTTTAAAATCAAAACAAGCCTTAACATGAAATACTGTGGAAAGCGTTGTTAAAAAAAAGGCAGAAAATAGCTTTTTATTCGGGGTTTTTAGGGGGTGGGGTGGGATGGGGTGGGGAGGGGAGGGTGAGGAAGGACATGGCCTGAAAAAGAGGTACTTTTAAAGTTTTGTTTTAGTAAACGTTGTACGTACTTGCAACACAATATGGTCATATAATAAGTGCCGTCTTTTAAGTTTATCGGTTTATTGATGCAAGCAACGCTGGGCTGATGGGGTTGTCCTCTGATCAAGGTGAAAAGGGAGGATGGGGTAAAATAATTGATAGCATTTGTATAGCGCAAATCACCGCTCAACAGCAAGCTCTATGCGCTTCACAATCTATACTATTACTCCAGCAGACCTAAGACCATTCTGAAACAAACTCAACTTCCTAGGAAGCATACAGTGCAAGCAGCCATTTATAGGGGCTTAAACATTAATATTCTGACAAGATCTTTCACTGTCCGTGGCCGGGTACCCATTCCCACTTGGGTGAAGTGAAGAAAATTAGTGTAAAGTACTTTTCCCAAGGACACGACATCGGGCCCGCGGCTCGAACCCCCGACCCCGCAACCTCACGATTACGATATATTACGAATAGGTAGGGGTTATATAAAGTACGCACAAGCAGAAGGATAAGGTAATATGAGGGGATGTTTTGAAACTGTTGCTGAGATGGACAGCGAGAAAAAAAAAGAAAAAAAAAACAGAGTGTATCTATGGACGTATGTACGGTGGAAAAAAAGGGGGGGGGTGGAAATTAGATGGATCGTCCTTTCCCCACTAATATGGCCAGTTTTTTAAGACATCAATACATCTCCTGTCTCAGGAGACGGTATTTTCTTCGTCTCGCAAAGGTCATGGGGAATTGAAATCTGTTGTGGTTGTTGAGGTGTGTCTGGCTGAAACTAGTTGTGCTGATGATGATGTTGTTGCTGCTCTTATTACCGTTAATGTTGTTGTTGCTTTTGCTGCCTTTGTTGTTGTTGTTGTTGTTGTTGTTGTTGTTGTTGTTGTTGTTGTTGCTGTTTATGTTGTGTATTTCTTGTTCTTGTTCTCGTTCTTATTCTCGTTGTTGTTCTTCTTCACCTCACTACCCTTTGTGTCCATATAAAAATACATTTCCATATTAATTTTACAGATAAACGTTGATTAATAGAACAGAATACATCTTATGTAATTGTTCAGTTTTCAAAGACTCTCAAGCTATACAAGGTACCAAACTTTGGCGGCCATTTTCTCGATAATTTAACTTATGACACCAGACTACCCCCACCTCCTTCAATTTAAATATCTCGACTTCTATCCAACATAGATGAATGTTTCTTCACTGACAGCTAGGCAAATAAATACGTTTTAAGATGATACCAATAGCTCTACCTGCCCAAAAATTGACAAGTGCCATCGCTTCGTGACTCAAATTTTATAATTCCACATGTTTACGCTCAGCAATGCTTTTGTCTGTGGTGGAAGCGGCCGTACATACAGGAGACAGCGTGGTGAAATCAGGCGCTCGTCAAAATAATGAAATCAAAGAAACTGACATTTTTCTGTCGGTTTGGCAGTTTTTATCGAATTTTTGTTTTTTCACTCAACACCTTTAAGGTCAATTTAAAAAATAACCTCTCGGTGGATGGTACTAAAAATTCTCAAGTTTTGGAAATCGCCAATCTTTGGCGGCCATTTTCTCGCTACTTTAACCTCTGAACCAGGTGACCCCGACCTCCTTCAATACCAAATGTCTCGACTTCTATTTGTAATGGATGAATATTTTTTTCACCAAAGCGAGACAAATGAACAAGCTTTAAAAAGAGAACAATAACTCCACAAAAATTAACGAGTGCCTGATTCCACCGCGTCGTGACACATATTTCTCTACCAAAAGCACGACATGTGCCATTAACTTTTCTTAAGTGCGTCAGGGATTAGTGATTGTGGTAAGCAGCATTCTCTTTGATGAATGGTGCACTTGCACCCTTTTAGTGATAAGTTTTAGTGGTCTTTTCAGACACTTCCTGAGTCGAGTACAGAAAAAAAAGAACAGAAAACAAGAACAAGAAAACAAAACAAAACAATCACCGAAAAGCCCACCAAAGCCCACCAAAGCCCACATTAATTGCGCTATTGTTCCATGGTCTATAGAATTTTTTAAAAATCCAACACCAATTTATGATTTTAACGAAGAATTGTTTCCTTGTTGATTTGAACTTCCTTTCATGGTAATGACAGATTGTTGTTTATGCTGCTGTTGTTGTTGTTGTTGTTGTTGTTGTTGTTGTTGTTGTTGTTGTTTTCTTCTTTTTCTTCTTCTTCTTCTTC